CACACACACACACACACACATTTGTTTCTGAACTTATTGATCATACCACTGCTAACTAGGACAGAGTAAGAATTGTCGAGGCTTGTCTACCGATTGATGTGCCAGCCATCCTCAACATACCGTTGTGTACTAGGGATATGGATGATACCTGGGCATGGAATTTTGAAAAAAAAGTGGGAGCTTCTCAGTCAGGTCAGCCTACAAAATGATAATCGCAACAAAATTAAGGAGAGAAGCTTGGTTAGATGGTTCCTCAGGATCATCGAGTAATGATAGAGACGCGGCATCATGGAGAGTACTATGGAAGATTCCAGTACCGGGCAAGATACACATGTTTCTGTGGAGACTAGCGAAAAATTCGCTGCCAGCGGAGGATGTCAGCACATAGAAAATTGTTTGTCACGAGCTCTTGTACCTTGTGTGGAGCTGTTGATTCGTGGAGGCATTCTCTTCTTGAGTGTGCTATGGCACGATGTGTTTGGGCACTAGTTGATGGAGAATTGGCGAAACATTTGTGCGAAACAGTGGAACCTACTGCAAGGCGATGGTTGTTCTCGATGATCGACACACACTCACATGAATCTTTTGTCAAGCTATCAGTGACATTATGGGTGATTTGGTGGGCAAGGAGACAAGTTATTCACGGGGAGATCTACCAGACTTCTTCGGCCACTCATCATTTCATAAACAGATTTCTAACAGAGTTTGAGATAGTTCCCCAGAAAAAAGCAAGGAAACAAGCTACGCCGATGAATACTAATTCAAGACCTTAGGCACCCGTGCCAGGATACGCGGAGATTCATGTAGATGTCAGCCTAGCTCGCTCCGGCTTGGGAGGTTCTGCGGCAGCCGTATGCAGAAACGCAGACAGTCTTTTCTTGGGTAGTTCGGCTATGATCATCCATGGAATCAAGGAGGTTGCAGCGCTAGAAGCGATCGCCTGTCGCGAAGCTATCTTGCTGAGGATTTGCTACTTCAAGATTTTATTGTTGCCTCCGACTCGAAACAAGTGATAAACGACATTGAGAAGGGAACGAACAGTACCTATGAACACATTATCAAGGAGGTCAAGCATCGAGCGTCAAACTTCAATTGCAGATTCATCTTCGAAGGCCGAGCAACGAATACCGGGGCAGATAGACTAGCTAAAATTTTGAATTCTCTGGACTAGGGGCGCCATGTTTGGTTTTAACCCCACTGTATTTTTTGCATCCGGCTCCATGTGGCTTTTGATCAATAAAATTTAGCTATTATCCTAAAAAAAGTTAGGGAGGAAAAATAAAACTTTCCCCGTCGTTTCGCCGCCAATTACAGCCACACACCCACCACGAGTGTACAGTCAGAGATCCACTGCCGTGCCTCACCTTCCCACACCCACGATTTCGTCGAGCACCTCGCGAGCAAAGCAGGCAGACGGCGGACGGATAAATCATGGAGGAGAGCGGCGCGAGCGCGGCGGCCGTAGTCCCTCGGCTGTTGGCGGCGAAGGAGGAGTCCGGGAAAAGCTTCTCGGACATCGCGGCCGAGACGGGGCTCACCAACGTTTACGTCGCGCAGCTGCTGCGCCGCCAGGCGCAGCTGAAGCCCGACATGGCGCCCGCGTTCCGGGCGGCCGTCCCGGCGCTCACCGACGAGCTCGTGGAGCTCATGATGCGGCCGCCTTTCCGGTCCTACCACCCGGACATCGTCCACGAGCCAGCCATATACAGGTGCCTACCTCGTGCCGACCGCCCAGTCTTGTCCCACTCCCAAGGCCCTTGTAGTTATCTCCGATTTCCATCTCGAACTCGGTGTAGGGGGCGTGCGATTACTGCCAGCTACTTCAAACACTGCCTATAGCGCATGATGTTGTAAAACAAAGTGATAGCTTAAATGTCAGCGAAAAAATGGAAGAATATTGTCTCTTCTGCTGAATCTGAATGAAGACATGACGAGGGAGGGATAGTTGCTAAAATTCCACAATGTTTAACAAACAGCAACCTTCTCCCATCCAGCTCTTTGGTATTTGTGTCAACTCTAATCTTCCGTTCTTTGTATAAACTCAAAACTCAAATGGGATGTTCTGTGCCTAAGTTCTTACTCAACAGTAGAAGAATAAATTTTACCATATGTTGATAGTTACTGATGCCTCTGTCTTTCCTCGGAATCTCTAGCTTCTGTACTTTGCTTGTTGCACTTGATAATCCACTTTGGGACAACAGTCTGGCACAGTTGTACCATGCTGTTTTTGTCCAGAGTAGGTGTATCACTATTTTTCTTTGTTTCTAATCACATCAGTTTAGCTTATTTTGTTCCAATTTATCCGGATGGCACATTATTTCCGGGTTCCACATGTTTCATTGATGCTTTCCCTTCGCACAAATGTTTCACTTAATTATTGGAAGATACATTTCACTGAAATTAATGCTACAATATGGACTAACTTTGTTATATTATAATGTACACAGATTGAATGAAGCTGTTATGCATTTTGGAGAGAGCATCAAGGAGATCATCAATGAGGATTTTGGTGATGGAATGTAAGAAACCGACCTATACTTAGTTGCATTAGTTCCTGATTGCTAGGCATGAGAAATGTTTATTGATAAAGTGTTACTTTGTTGCTTTCTCAAAAAGGAGAGTGCTACTTTGTTGAATTTGTGCTGTGCTTATTGGACCCATGCACACTTTTGTTGCACTTTTCGATTTATTTCGTGTCTATAATAATGGTGTTCTACTGTAACCTAGAATTTCTGTTAGAACTTGAGATGATTTAGATTCTCTCATTTGTTTGCGTGAAAAAACAGTTGTATTCCAAGCCTGTCTGAAATGTGGGCATCTCTCAATTCTTCTTCTTCTTTTTTTTTTGCGGGTAGTGCATCTTTCAATTCTAAGGATGTATTTTTTACTGGATCTTTGTTCAATAATCTATAATACTCCAAATAGTATTATGGAGATTGCAAAATTGATCTGCCTGTCTTATTACTCTCAATAATCTTTCCATGTCTTATTGCTTTATTTAAATGCTTTCAATTGCAGCATGTCGGCTATAGACTTCTACTGTTCAGTTGACAAGATTCAAGGGGCTGATGGAAAAGATCGTGTGGTGGTCACATTTGATGGGAAGTATCTGCCTTACACCGAGCAGGTCTGTTACTTTTTTTGGAGGTTTCTTTTGTTCCTGATAAGCCAATGATGCTTAGTTTGCATTCATAGGCATATGAAGCAGGTGCCTTCTGTACGGAAAATTTTGTTACATAATGATGAGTTTACCTGCTTGAAGTGATGCTTGTTCGGTTGTTCCTGCCAGTGATCCATTAGTAAATATGACTGCCAGTGATCCATTCATAGATATTGGAGTAGTAGATAGTTATTGAGTGTGGAGGCAGTTAAAAACTAATTATGATAATCGTTTTATGTTTTAAATCATGGTTTATCACACTACTTGCTCATTTGAATTTAGCAAGCAGTTAAGCATACAATTTTGTTTTCCACATATGCAGAGATCTGAACATATGATGTCAAGATTGAACCGGAATGCATCTTGAGATGGCTGGTGTTACGAAGAGGATGTATGTTCATGGTGTAACACATTGTGTGTTGCCTGATTCTACTTTAGACTTGGAAAAAAATGAATAATGGCTTATCTGGCATGAATGACCGACAAATAAACGAACTTTCTACATGTATGCAGAATAATTTGTTAAAAATGTGGTTTATATCATCATTCTTCGCTCTGTCAAGTGAATTATATTTTTCATGAATTGTTTAGCCTGCGGTTTGATGTGCTGAAATAAAAATGTTTTCCCTAGGAAATGTAATTTGGTGGAATATTTCATCGTGTGCCCTTTGACCCCCGACATGGACCATGCCGTTGAGATGACAAGTGTTAAGTCATGGCTTTCGGAATTGGTTTGGGGAGGTAGAAGATGATGTTGGATTGTTGGGAACAAATTTCAGATGAAAGATCACCATCCATGCTGCTGTTAGAAACCATCCTGACTGAGCCTTTTTTCTTTCAAAGAAGGATTGGGACATACCTACAGGGTTGGCTCTCAGGCGCATCTGCTCCCTTGGTGAACAGTAAAGTCAAAACAAAATAGAAAAATTCAGAAAAAACTTGCATGGAAGATGTTCGAGTGGATGATGACCTTCTCAAATTCGGATCTACGAGAAAGTTTACTATTTATGCACTGTCTAGACCGATTTTGACTTTTTTGCCACGAGCTCTCTCATACTGCCTTCATCCCAAAATTCTTGTCTTAGATTTGTCTAGATACAGATGTATCTAATTTAAGACAAGAATTTTGAGACGGAGGGAGTATGTCGTAACAGGGTGAAATTTTGCCCGGACATCAGGCACTCAAACATCTTATTTGCTAGTATTTTTTGAGTTTACTGTTTATCGGGAGCAGATGAATATTCAGCATATTAACAAGGCTGCACTTAAGTACCAAAGCTACCGAGAGGTAAGAAAAAGTGAGGCCACTAATATTTAAGTCAGATGTGTAACTTGTCCCTAATATTTTCATCAAGAAGACCTGGTTGTACTTTCTAATATTATTAAGGTTGTGTGCTTCTGACTTCTAACTACTTTGAAAAACGATGCTTCATTAATTAGGAAATACACTTTGGCTCATGGGTATAGGAGCACCTTATATGGGGAAAAAATAGGAAATCCAAAAGGTCAAAAAGTTCTAAATCTTTTTTAGAAACAACCTTGACCTTCTATTGTACTCGTATAAAAACTTTCGCCAAGAAAAAACTCCCGTCAACTTCAGGGCAAACAAAAAACAAATTTTCAAGGACAAAAAGCATGAATAGTAACCTGTATATAGTGTTGTTTCTTTTGGCCCAAAATACCACTAAAGTCATTCCTTGGGGAAACTTTATTTTTTTGACATTTTTTGGAATTACTAAAAATATCCATATCAGGTGCGCCTAAACCTGAGAGCCAAAGGTGCTTGTCCAAGCATAAGGTACTAGAGAATACAGATATCACAAAGTCTTGGAACGGGTTTCATTTAGTTGAGGAATTGCCTTCTGAACGTGTATATGTAGCAGCTAGTGGTAAATGTTTTGACTGTGCAACAGTTCTATGGCCGCAGCCACAACCCCTTTCCCTTCCGAAAAGATGTCAAGTGCAGGTTCCTCAATCTTCCTCTGAAGGAGTTTGTCCAATTCACCTCTTAATCTCTGTCAAGTAAAAGGAACATCTCTCATTACAGGAAAAAAAATGGGTTTAATGCAATAATATTATTTACTCCCTCCATCTCATAATATAAGAGCGTTTTTTATACTACACTGTCAGGACCCCGACTCGATGTCACATTGATATAGCCGGTAACACCTCATATCACTTTGCGGCCTCACGCACGGTATCCCCACGGGTGTCGCCTTACCTTTGCCCGGGACCGTTTGCGCTTTTTGGCTCACGTATATGATAGTGTCGCTAGCATCCATATGATAAGGAGCCCAGGCTGACATGACTAGTCGTAAACCCAAAGTGGCACAGACTTACAGGGACAGGCATCCATGACCCAGCTTCGAACGTGTCGGTCATCAGCAAGTGGGTCCGGGCTGTAGCACTGGGCTAGCAGGACTCCGGTAAACCGGGCTGTAGCGGACTAACAGGACTCCGGTACTCAAAGCGTGACATTTCCCCGAAGGGACAGACACAGGAACGAAGAAGGACACATGCCGGCCAGCCTAAGTGTTCCAGAGCAGTAGCAAGCTACCATGGCTCAGCGGTAACACTAGGAGACATTTCCCGGTAAGAGAGGCTACTAAAGATAAACAACTAGATAGTCAGATCCCACACATACCAAGCATTTCAATCATACACACAATATACTTGATATGTGCAATTACAACGAAGCATCACAACATGACTCTACGACACCAGTACTTTATTTAAGGCTCGGGGAGCCATACATATCATACACAAAGGTACGGGTCTCACGACCCAACATACAAGTCATACAGTCATACAAACCAGCAGCGGAAGTAACTTGTCTGAGTACAGACAACTAGTAAAATAAAAAAGGCTTGGAAAGCCTAGCTATACTACATGGTCCTTCACAAGCTCAGGGTCACCACCTGGTCCTTTAGCCTACTCGTTGATGTCAACGTCTACATAGAACCCATCAGAAGGGGTTGCAGCGTCTTCTGTAAAAATATAAATTATAGCAACATGAGTACAAAGGTACTCAGCAAGACTTACATCAGATCCTACATACATGCATGTTATCAAGAAGGGTTGGTGGAGTTATTGCAGCAAGCCAGCTTTGACTCATGGCTAGACTATCCTACGATACTCCAACTTGAAATGGTTTTGCGCACACGAGTCCACTACTCACCACTTCAATACACTATCAAGGATCCACCTCCGTCTTCCTACGGAAGAGCCATCCTCGGCACTCACACTTATCTTGAGGCTTTTAGTAGTTTCCATTTACTTGTCTATGAACTGTATAGGCAACCAAGTAGTCCTTTACCGCGGACGCGGCTATTCGAATAGGTTATGATAACCCTGCAGGGGTGTACTTCTTCATACATGTTTTCACCACTTAGCGTCTGCACACGACATGTGCTCGGCAGACTTCAAGCAAAAGCCGACGTGGGTGTAGACCACGACCTACCTAAACACTTAAGCCTCTAGTCCAGGTTTATCGCCTATCCAGGTTCCATCCGCAGGGAGTCCGGCCGAGGTTTCCCATACGGCCCCGAACGATGTGAACAGGGTTCCCGAGATACCTAACGGGTATTCGGTACACCCGGCCACGTACCTACCGCATCACAGCCCACCCCTACGGTCAGCGCTGTCCACGGCCTCCAGTAGACTACAAACACCAGAAACTACTTGCAACTCCTGGACAGAGAGCTAGGGTGAATAAGAAGTCGAGCGGGGTCATATTTCAGGGCCCAATGCATGGTAGTAGCTGTATCTTAAATCACACATACAGATCTCAGTGCTTAAGGTCGGCTTCAATGAAACAACCCACCATGTACTCCTACATGGCCTCTCACCGATACCTTTACCAAATCGTGTTCACCACACCACTCTCATTACCGACATAATCATTTCACTCTAGCCATCACCCAGATGAACCAGACCTGACACGACTCTAAGCATAGCAGGCATAGCAAGGTAGGAACAACACATACATATGGCTCAATCAACTCCTACACATGCTAGTGGGTTTCATCTGGTTACTGTGGCAATGACAGGTCATGCAGAGGAAATGGGTTCAACTACCGTAGCACACAGCAGTTTGAAACGCGTTGTCTTAATGCAGTAAAAGAGAGCAGGAGCGAGAACATGGGATTGTATCGATATGATCAAATGGTTGGTTGCTTGCCTGACGGGTCGGTGCACTGGTATTGCTCTTCGTCGGGGTTATCACGGTACTCCTCGGGGGCAGAACCTGCCGCAGAGAGCACCGATACACAAACATTACCAAACAGTATGCAACAATATGGTGCATGCATGAGACATGGCAAAATGAGTGTATTGGGCTAATGCAACTAAGAACAGATGGGTTTGAACTAATTTGAACCATTGATTCAAAGTTCAAACTCATAAGTTGCCATTTAAGGTGTTTTATCTTGTTCTGTGATAAACAGCAGGTTAGCTTGTTTAAACATGCATGAAACCAGTACAGATGGAAAGATTGGATTTTTCTGATCATTTTTCATATATAATTTGTTTGATTTGGAACTACGGTTGATTTTATATGAATTTTGAAAGTTTGAAACATTTTCTGGAATTTCCTGTGTAAAAATAATTCCAGAAATTAAATTACTGCGTCAGCACTACGTCATGATGACGTCAGTGGTCAACGGGCTGGTCCAGGTCAAACTGACCAGTGGGTCCCGCATGTCAGTATTCAATTAGTTTAACTAAATTAGATTTAAACTAACTGGATTAATTAACAAAGGGGGCCCCACATGTCATAGACCCAGGGGGTCAACCGGGGCCCACCCGTGGTCAAAGTCAGAGTCAAACACGCCGGCGTCTAGCCGCCGGCGAGCCCAACGCGGCGGCGAAAGTGCTTTTTGCCATTCCGGCAACCAAATGAACGGCGGAAGGCATCTACGTGTTGCTGAGGTTGAGCCGCGACTATTGGTGGTGGTGGTTGGGCTCGGGGTGGCCGGAGTTGGCGCCGGCGGCGACTTTGGCGGCCGCCGGAGTTC